ATATATATATATATATATATATATATATATATATATATATATATACGCAACTTTATGGAATGTTTTTACGAAAAGTAGTATAAGAAAGACTGAACAAAATTTCTCTGGAAGCACACTTCCAGTTTTGCGGTTCTCACCGCTAGTTAGGCGTGCGCATCCGCGTTGGATCTGGTCCTGATTGTCACCTACATCATGTCCAGAGATGTGCACACCTCGTCACAACCTTTCAGTTTGTTTGAGTACGAAAGAAGATGGATCTACAAATTGTGTCTAATATTTGGTCTCTTTCATATAGGCATTATTTCCATCCTAATTTCACTATTTGCACGATTTCTCACTTTCAAAAACAGGTGTCCAACCATCATCCTTGTGTCTGATGCGATCAAACACATCACGGTGGCGTCCACGGCTTGTGAAACGTGCTCTGCTATGCATTTGAACGTGAAGCTTGATCCGGTAAGCTGTTTATTTACCCCCGTAGCCTCTCATCCACAGTAAAATGCCACCTGTTACTTGATCGTCCAAAGGAAGCGACCTATCAAATTGTTAATCAATGTGAGCGTTGACCTTCACTCACCGGTGTTTTACAAGTCCCCGTTCAATTATTACTTTACTCAGTCAAAAGCAAATTCCGGCTGATCTTTTCCTATTGGAAGCTGTAACTGATGGTCACCTTATTGACGTATTGGGCAGCGTGGTGTTGCTCGGGATCATTTTCACTGAGTCCCCCCACCCTCAGAGTTGATTGGGCATGTGAGAAACGTGCCACTTATGCTATCTCCTAAAGTGGTGCCTTTTTGGTGAATTCGATCGGTCAGCTTTGCGCCGTGCGCATGAGATCAAAACAAAATCACAGCTCTATCAATGCTGAGCTAAAATTACTTGCCATCCGCACATTTCTGTAGTGATCGAACTATCAGATAGTCTATACACGATGACGGACGGGAAGGCGGTAATTTTCGGTTAGATCAGACTACGAGTGACCTGTCCGATCAACTTTCGAGTGAATTTGGCAATCTCACATGCTTTGTTGGGTGTTGTTCGTCCTCTGGTAGCGTTAAACGAGTTGAATTCGATGACCAGAAAATCTTTAGTTATTGTTCTATGTCTGTTGTCTATCTCAGAATCATTCAACCGATTTCGGTATCCAAAAGCACAGTGAGCCAGGGAAACTAACCGAAGAACAATAAATTAAGAGAGGGCGTCAAACACTGATATACAAAGTGAGAAATAACTAGCTGGAAATCACGAAACTGCCTCGGCTTTCGAATTTGAAATGATAGATGTGTAATTTGCCAATACAGTTGTTGATGTGGGTTGGCCAACGATGATTGTCATCTAGGTTATTCGACAAAGTTCACCTTTTATCAAGGTTTTTTATCTACCACTGTAGGGCTTGTCAGAATTGAAGAGCGTGAAACTTAGCCCCGAGCAAAAAGAGAAAATTTAGATTTAGATCGGTGAATCCTGTCCATTATGTGCAGAAAAAGTTTATGAATTCGTTGTTTCTCTCAATCCGTGCTTCCTCACGCTCGGACTATACTAGAAACAGTGTACACATACTACCTATATTCAGACTGATGGTTTTTGGATTAGCCCATTCAGTTTTTCACAGGCACTGTTGATGATCTTAGGTGTGGGTTTCACTCCTTGGGAGGTCGTTAAATCCCCACTAGTTAAATGCGATGGAAATGTTTGTGATAACCGACAAATAGCACTGGACAGTTGTTTCGTCCTGTTTGTGACTCGTCAGCAGTGCGTACTTTTTGTGTCCCTGTCAGGACTCGAACCGCGAACCTTTGGGTTGGGACTTCAAACCCTCATCGCATTCAACTAGTGGGGAATGAACGATCTCCTAAGGAGTGAAACAGCTGTCCCGAGCTCTTTGTTGGTTATCACAAACATTCCCATCGCATTTAGATGCCATATCTTTTAAGTTTGTCATCTTTTGTACGTGAAATTCCGGTACATTAGCTAAAGAGGACAAGTCACTTGAGGGAGGCCCTTCCAAGAGATCCATTGAGAAATGAAACATTTGCGAGTGAGAAGCTGCGAATGCAAAATCCAATGCAGTCAAATCGAGGGAAAGATTTCTAGGTATAATGTAAATGTACTTAAGGACAATCCATGAATAAACGGCGGTCGCTGATGGAAGTTGGTGTTTTTGGTGCTAAAGAAAACAGTGTTGGGTGATTGGTTTTCGTTTTCTTCCGTATAGAGTTTCATCTTGTGGTAGATAGACGAAAATTTCTCATACTCATCGGCTGAAGAGTGTAAGTACCAATATGGGTAAAGTTCTCAACGATTATTTGTAAGTTAATGTCTAGCCGCGGGACAGGAAGCGATATAGATATATCAAAGAATGATGTATAATTTGGTCGTGTACGTTCACAGTTTAGCTTCGTGTTATTTTATGTTGATATAATCTTGATGGAGAGCTCCTAGAGTGCACATTTTGTGTCAAGCAGTTCTCCAATATTCGTTCCTCCCGTTCGCACTAAAAGCACTTCATTTTTTGTCCACCCTGTCAGTCGAAACTTCCGACCGCTGCCGGTGATGGAAACGCCGAAGAGATTAGAGCGTCCTTTTCCGGATGTGTTTTCTGTTCGGCTGTTCTCTGTAGGCTATTTGATGTGGTACACAGTCGTCAACCGAATGCGCATCCATCTGGCGCACAACGTGGTCCACCATCCAGAGGTTCACGTGGGTCCGGGAATCGGGGTAGATCTGGTTCGCGTGGACGCGGAAGACGCCCCCCTAACTTGTAAATGATTGTCCACAGTCTCTCTTTTGGATAACTAATCTGGCTCGACGCTATTTAAATACACAGCTTTCTGATTCCGTTATCCTTATGGAATGTAACAGGGAACCAACCACATTATTTAACTCACTCTGCCTACGAAAAAGACGTTTTACCCGATAATATGCTGTTCACAAAAATCAGTCCACTCATTGATCCACAACAGTTTGAGATCATCCCGTAAAGGTGGTGCGCAAAATAAAGTGGAATGACGTGATCGGTCACAGTTACGAATGGTGAAAATGGCAGGAACAACGCCTCGGATTCTAAGTAACTATGTGGAAAAACCGTCAGTTCAGTTGAGCATGAAAAACGGAACGCCAGAGTCACGTGGTTCACTAAGATGAGTGTACAAAAACAAAAGTCTACATGGCAAAGATGGATCTGTTCTATTCGGTACTTCTCATCAGGCCAATCCAGCACTCAGTATAACATGTAGACACAATATAGCGTGATAACCCATAGTGTAAGGACTCATGCAGTTATTGCGATGATTGATGTTTTGGGACTGTGTCCAGATAGACCAGTCAAGGATGAGTAAAACGATCTTACTGGCCTTAGACCAGGGCGGCAGTAGGGTCTTGACAAACTGTTTTTGCGAACACAGTATTGGTTGGTTTAGCCTGATTGCGGTCGCTTCGGCTGTGTTTCATCCCTTTTGATCGGTTACATGCTACCCGGTATATAATTTTGAATGCTTCCTTTTGTGTCAGTTTTTAACCCGTGTTGAATGCATGGGCTAGGATGGCACTAGTCGCATTTTTATTGATCCCTTTAGATAGTCAAGTTGGACAGTGTTCTTGAACCCTCTCTGACAGTCGCCTAGTTGTCCGTCCTACGTATTCCGTTCCACAGGAGCACAAATAAGAGTACACTCAAAATGAGG